TTGTGTGATTATGATGTCTGAATGTATCACTATATATGTTTGTTTCCATATGCATATACTCAGTGATCTGTGAAGAAAAGTTTTAGATTCTTGAATGTTTAATAATAAAGAAGGGTACGTGTGTATTGTATTGTGCGTGTGCATGTGATGTTGTTTTGGCGTTGGTATTGTATCTGAGGTGTTGGTGTGTATTTGTGTATATATAAATATATATTTGTATAAATATAAATATATATGTCTGTATGTTTTGTATATAGTTTGTTTGTATTTGTGTGTATGGTGTGGTGTGTGTACGTTAATAATAAAGACGGTGATAATGATTGTAATAACGATGATGAAGACGACGGCGATCATGATGATGATGATGATGATGATTATAGTGATAATGATGAAGACGATGATGATGATGATAACAATAACAATAAAACGAATACTATTATTATACCCATATCATTATGAACAAAGGAATGATGTAGTAGTAGAAGTAGTAGTAGTATAAAAGTAGTAGCAGCAGCAGTAGTTGTAGTAGTAGTAGTAGTAGTAGTAGTAGTAGTAGTAGTAGTAGTAGTAATATGTTTGTCGGCGTGTATTGATATTCATGATTGAGGTGTTGAGTTAGAGTGTGACTGGAATGGATGAATGTGTAAATATGGGAATATAATGAATGAATGAATGGGTGAATAAATGAATGAATTAATAAATGAGTGAATGAATGTGTTAATGTAATGAGTAGATGTGTTAATATAACAAATGGATGAATGGTGAGCGAGCGAACGAATTGTTGATATGTTAATATACTGAATGATGAATGAATGGATGGATGAATGAACGTAATGGGTGAATATGATTCTTTACTATCTCTTCTTTATAAACAATACCATGCATTATATACAATTCTTCCTATGTTTTCGTATCGTTTTGAAAAAGTTCTAACCTATATTTTTACAAATTGAACACGTATATATATTTGTGTGTGTGTGTGTGTGTGTGTTTTTATTCGTCCATTTTCAATCATTCAGCCATTCATTTGTACATTCATTCATTCATTCATTCATTCATACATAAATAAATAAATACAGACATACGTTTGTTAGTTGGTTATGTACGATTTGATTTGTTCGAAAATAATAATTTAAGCCTACTAACTGAATGGTTGGTTAATTTATGTCCATATATTTATATCTGTACTAATAAATTATTGCATAAGAGTTGTGTGTACAATATACTTTCACACACGCGCGCGCACACGCAAACACACACACACGCAAACACACACACACGCAAACACAATTGGAAATGAGTTATATATGTGATGTGATCCCATTGGCTTGTAATTAAATTTGCATTATTTAAAGATACATGTGTCATTGTCGTCCCATTTCATTGTATTGTTTTCTGTTGTATTTATTTTGTTTGTATGTGTGTATGTGCATGTAACATTTTTGTATTTATGTGTGTGTGTGTGTGTATTTGGTTGTATGTATGTGTGTGTCTGTTGGTGTAAAACCGTATGACTCAATTATTTTGCCCACATGAAGTCCCATCAATGACCCAGTTCTTTTTTTCACGAAGATACAGTTCAAGACTGTATGAATATGTTTGTTTGTATGTGTGTTTGTATTATCTATATTTGTATCTTGTTTGTGTGTATGTGTTTGTATGCTAGTATGTATGTTGTATATACGTCTGAATGTATATGTACATTGTACAGTTTGGAGATGTATCCATTTACTATCTACCAACATCATTTCAGCTGGTTGTTGTTAGGTTTGCTTGCATCAGAACGTTCATTTATTCTGTGTTTGTCTGTTTTCGTGTTCTTTCATGTTTGCATGTCCTGTGTTTGTTTGTTTTCGTATTTGTTCATGTTTGAGTTTTTCTACTTTTTGTTGTATCTAATTATTATTATTTGTTTTGTATTTTATTTTTTATCACTCATCCAATTGTATTGGTCTACATGGCTTAATTTTTATAATCACACACACATACACACAAACGTACATGGACACATAGATACACACACACACGCACGCACACACGTACGCGCTTGCAATGAATAAACATTCAAATATGGGTAATTAAGTTACATACACAGTATTCACTTATCAAATTGAAGATGCTAATGTATGATGCAGATTTATCTTCCATTAATTTATTTACACTTTCATTTCTCCTTTGATCTACAGCTTATGTAATACTTGTAATTATTATTATTGTTGTTGTTGTTGTTGTTGTTGCTGCTGCTGCTGCTGCTGTTGTTGTTGTTGTTGACTTGAATGAATGATTAAGTGAATGAATTGTTGAATGCAAGTCGAATTGAATTGATGAATGCGTGATTGATATATTGATTGATTGGCTGGATGATTGATTGAATAAAGGAATGAATGAATATAAGGTTGGTACTAATACTAACTAATCACTTATGTGCACTGATTTCACACGCACACATTCGAAGACACTTGCTAACACACATACACACACAAACACACACACATACAATCATATACTCACCTATACATATATATACATATTCACATGCCAAAATACTTGCACAGTACAAGCATATTTCTATAACCACGCTCATCACATACACACAAATATTCGCACACCCATACACACATGCAAGCCTATATACACACCAATATAGTATACACACCCATGTGCAAAAACACATATTCACCATATACAGAGACACGTACGTGTGTCCATATATGTGAATAGACACTTATACACACTTATATGTTTATATATATATACATACACACACACACATCCACACACGCACGCACACGTTCTAGAATAACAATAGACTGGCTGGTTGGAGATTGTACTAATAATGTAATTTTACTAATGAGTTTAAAAAGGCGGTAGTCGCATATTAGCATTAGCTATTACTAATAATGAGGCACTGGTGAATGTGTGAGTGATTGAGCTAGTTAATGAATGAATGGATGGATGGATGGATGAATGAATGACCGATGACTGATCCAACTAGTGAATGATTTTTATCTGAACGTGTGAATGATTGAAGAGATTAATAAGTGGTGATTGAATGAAAGATTGAATGAATTAATGATAGAACGAATGAACGAATTAATAAAGGAATGAATATCTGACGCGTGAATGATTGAATTAATTAATAAGTAAGGGTTGATTGAATGAATGAATATTCGAATGAATTAATAAATAAATATATGAATGAACGAGTAAATAAATGAATGATCGATTGAATGCATGAATGAATGCATGAATGAATGAATGAATGAATAAGTGAATGATCGAATGAAAAATTAATTGAGGGTATTTATAATATTGCCAAATAATAAGAATATTTCTTTCTACATTCATTTTCGATAACATTATCATTATTGATGTTATTTATTTTGGAATATTGCAGGCGGAAGCGATTCTGTTTATATATTTTCCGACCAATCACGTCAAACTGGAAACAATGACGTCATTAATAACTACAACAACGATGATAATAACAATAATAATATTAATAATAACAATGATAATAATGATAAGGATAATAATAACAACAATAAAGATATTAATGATGATGATGATGGTGGTGGGGGTGTTAAACACATTAAGAGAGTTATAAATAGGAATGATTACCATAAAACTGGTAGTAGCAGCAACAACCACAACAACAACAACCACAACAACAATAATAAACATTCGAAAATTGATGACAAAAGAGACGCCGACGAGAACCTCAATGCCAGTGTTAAGAATTTTCACGGTCTGATCTTCGAATCAGAAAACTACTTTCTAGTCGGGGCCAGGTAATTATCATAATTTATTAATTATTCATTTGGTTACGCACGTTCAATTGATTGATGACTAAGTAATTACTTTGCCTTTGTAGTAATTGTTTGCTATTTTTTAAATATTGGAGAGCCCTGAACGGTTGTAAGCAACGGTGACTACAGCCTAGACGCGCATTTTTACTGTATGCGGTTTCTGATAGCGTGGTTTCGAGTATCTATTTTTTGGAAATTACCCTCACGATGAAATGTTCAAAGTCGATGCAAGTTCTCCAGAAAGTTCTATTGTTTCTCCTCTTTGCTGCTGATTTTGGCCTAATTGGTTCAGAAGTTAGTTTGAAGGAAGGTTATAACTAATAAGGAAAGCGTTGTTAGAATGCTACTGGAATGTGTTGCTAGAATGTGTTGCTAGATTATGTCAACCAATTCCAAAAAAAAATTAAACTAAAATTATGAGAACATTTTGGAATCGAGAGATGTATGATGATATTTTTTTGGCTCTACCTAACTGGAATGCTTGCTCCAGAAGGGTTGGATTGGGCCTGAATTGTACACTATCTAGATAGCAAAGGGCTATCCAGTCTTCACACAGACACAACTTTATTATCTTATAAAAACGCTCATGATTTAACAAAAAATTTAATATTTTTTATATTGTTTTGTCTGCGAGTTTCGTTTCGTCGTTTCGTCGCTTCACAATGTCACATCTTCAAATTTTTACTTCTAGGGATTCTCTGTACAACCTATCCAAGTCGACGCTAGAAGTTAACAAGGTATTTGTATACTGTAATTGTACTTACTGTATTGTACACATAATGTATACATTTCTACACGCATACAAACAAACATACACACACACACGTGCATACATACATACATACATACATACATACATACATACATACATACATACATACATACATACATACACATACATACACATACATACATACAATACATACAATCCAGAAATACCACTGGCCCACCGCTGAAACGGAGAAGGCCACTTGTAGTATTGTTAACCAACACCTTATGGTATTTACTATTTATTATTATTACTGTTTTAGGCAATGCTAGAATTTACAGCCTTATTATCATTATTGTTATTGTTGTTATTGTTATTATTATTATTCTTGATTTATATGGGGTTATTTTTATTATTGTTACTTCGTTATTGGTCTCATTACAATTCTTCTAGTAGTTGTAAATATTTTTTTTCTGGCCATTAAAATTATTATTTGTTCGTTCGTTCACTCGTTCACTCATTCATTCATTCATTCATTCATTCATTCATTCATTCATTCATTCATTCATTCATTCGTTTGTTCGTTCGTTCGTTCGTTCGTTCGTTCATCTACAGGTTTTTATATTTGTTTTCGTCTATAATTAACAATACAATAAATTTATTATGCTTATTTCGAAAGTTATTATTTATTACCTGCAATCAGAAACAGACGTAATATTTTATAAGTAATAATAATAATAACAATAACAATAATAATAATAAATAATAATAATAATAAATAATAATAATAAATAATAATGATGGTTATGACATTAATTTATTTTCATTGCAATAACAACTACAAAAGGATTATTGTAGCAATTACATTAACGTCATTGTCGAGAATGTATCGTCATCATCGTCGTCATCATCGCCGAATGATTTTGTAATATGTGGCACCTACTCAACTAAACCGAAGTGTAGAAAATTGAATTACGATAACGTAAGTTGAGCTGGTTGTTTTGCTTTTACGTGATAGTGATGATGTAATGAGGATGATGAGATGATGATGTTTTGGTCGCTTTTGTAACACGAAAAATCTAACACACAGGCACACATTTACACACACACACACACACACACACACACACACACACACACACACACACTGATATGTAAGCAATTTATCAAAGCTTCATAATGGGTTCTCGTATGTATAATTTTATTTGCACCAGGAGCTTGGTGAGTACGTGCTATCGGAGCAGCTGGCCAGCGGTACCGGTGTCAGTCCTCCAGCTCCTATCTACAACTCAACTGCTCTCTTCTATAGTTAGTTGACGATGTTGCTGTTGTTCTTGCTGTTGTTGCTGTTGCTGTTGCTGTTGTTGTTGTTGGTGGTACTGTTGTTCTTGTTGATGTTGTCATTGTTGCTTTTTGATGATGTTTTGTGTCGTTCGTTCATTCATTCATTCATTCATTCATTCATTCATTCATTCATTAATTCAGTCAGTAAGTCATTCATTCACTCATTCAGTCATTCATTCATTCATTTTTTTTCGTCCCCCTTTCTTTCTTCCTTTCAATCATTCAAGGTTCTTCCATAATTTACATTCATTCATTCATTTTAGCCATACTCATCACTTATCTCCACCCACCAAATAATCATCACAATTCACGCTATTTATAACAACTACGACAACAACAACAATAGTAATAATAATAATAATAAGATTAGAAGTGAAATTATTGGAAGGCTTATAGTAGTAAATTATAATGTTATTGAATTTTATAACCTATAGAGAAGCATTTAAACAGTTGCGTCAATAATAATAAATTCAATTTAATCGTTAAATGAAATTTCATAAATTAAATAAACCAAATAAATTCACACACGCACGCACACACACGCACGCACGCACACACACGCACATCTTATCAACCAATTGACGATGACGTAACATGTTGTTCGGCCAGTTTATCGATCACCTAAACTATCAAATTGTCAGTGACGTAACTTATCAATCAACCAATCATTTATTACCTAACTTATCATGCAGTCAATCATCAATCATCCACCTTGTCAATGAGCCAATCATCAATCAACTAACTTATCAGTTAGCCAATCATAAATTGCCTAAATTCAACCTGCCAATCATCAGTCGCGTAACTTATCAGCCAGCCAATCATAAATTGCCTAAATTCTACCTACCAATCATCAGTCACGTAACTTGTCAGCTAGCCAATCAAAAGTTGCCTAAATTCAACCTGCCAATCATCAGTCACGTAACTTGTCAGCTAGCCAATCATAAATTGCCTAAATTCAACCAGCCAATCATCAGTCACGTAATTCATCAATCTACCAATTGCTGAACAGACGGTAGATTGTTCTCAGCAGCTTTCAAGCACACAGACAGAAAGTATACAATATACAGCAGTCCAGTTTTACTTGAATCACCTTTAAACGGTACTCCCTTTTTTAAAGATATCTCTATCGTAATTATTATATCTCAATGAATCGTATTTATTGTTATTCGTATTATTGTTGTTATTATTGTTATTGTTATTATTATTATTATTGTTATTATTATTAACATAATCTTAACAATCAGTCCTATAATCATAATGGCTATCATCATTATTCCTTCATTAACCCTTACTCTCGCTCGCTCACATGTTCCTCTTAATATACCATCTTGCTTGTTGATTGATTGTCACTTGTGGCCATATACGTAAACCAGTTATTTTATTATTAATTATTGTTAAATTAACCTGAAGGTTATTATTCATTCTTTATTATTATTATTTTTTTTGAATAAATTTTTTCTAGTCCCACCCTTAAAAAACACGCACAATCACTAACGCAACGCAACAACCTCACACACACACACACACACACACACACACACACACACACACACACATACACACAGATCCAAGCTTCGTGGGCTCCCTCGGCTACAAAGAGCACGCGTATTTCTTCTTCAGGGAAACAGCCGTCGAGAGCATGAACTGTGGCAAGACGGTCTTCAGTCGGGTGGCCCGCGTCTGCGCCAACGACAGGGGCGGTGGCGCCACCTGGTCCAATAGGTGGACCTCGTTTGCTAAGGCCCGACTTAACTGCTCGGTTCCTGGGGAATTTCCCTTCCATTTTGACGAGATACGTTAGTAGGCTGGGGTTGTCGCTTCGATGATGGTTTTTTTTTGTTGTTGCAAACGATCCGGTGGTGCAAGCCATGGCGACGCGATGTTGTCTAATCTTATTTTGTACCTTCTGGATTGTACCGGCTTGGAGGGGGTAAAAGAAGCTATACATAGATGGCACGGAGGTCGCCATTCTCTCTTCTTGATTTGGTGTGCGGTGTATGTTTGAGATTTTGTCACTGTTTTGTTCATTCAATAGTTCGTTGATTGATTGATTGATTCATTCATTCATTCATTCATTCATCTAGTCATTCTTCACTTATTTGCCATTGGTTGACCGAGTTTTTATTAAATCAATCCATCCATTCGCTCGTTCATCGATTGGTTATATTACACACACACACACACACACACACACACACACACACACACACACACACACACACACACACACACACACACACACTTCATATAGACATTAAATGACTATTTTGTAATTTGTCCATTCTCAATTTTGTTATTTCCAATAAAAAAAAACTATGCCTACTATTAAATGATTGCTCTATGGCATACTTTTTATTTTTTGACAAGGCTTTTGTTTATAAATCCTAAGCAGAGCCCGTTGGGTATTTAGTGAATAGTGTTTAAAAGAATGAAATGGAATAAATAAATTACTAAAATAATTCAAGTAAGACTATAAGTAAGAACTGTGTGCTAATAACATGAAGTAAAATATGGTATCGAGGTATAAAAATGTATAGTGATGGGTTTAAAAGGATCAGTAATAGGAAATTTAATTATAGAGTTAATTATTCATTGCATACTAATTAATTATATAAACCGTTGTTACTATAATATGATAACTATATTTGACCTATATAATATATTTGACCTTTTACCGACCAATCAATTTGCAGAATCCATATCAGAGCTGAGTAGGGGTACCGTCTATTCGAGACCCATGTTCAATCAGGGCGATGATATTATATATGCCGTTTTCAGTACACCAGTGTTAGTGCATTCATTGAGCATTCATTCATTCATTCATTCATTCATTCATTCATTCATTCATTCATTCATTCATTCATTCATTCATTCATTCACTCATTCATTCACTCATTCATTCACTCATTTATTCATTCATTCATTCATTAACTCATTCATTCCTTCATTCACTCACTCACTCATTCCTTCATTCACTCACTCATTCGCTCACTTATTCATTCAGGAACAGTATGCGAGGTTCGGCCGTATGTGCCTTCAGGATGGCGGATATTGAGAGCAGTTTTGGGGGGCTTTACAAGGAGCAGAAGGACCCATTGTCCTTATGGCTGCCAGTCAAAGCACTAGTTGAGTCTCACCCTGGACGTGTTAGTTGAGTCACTGGTCTACTGGTTGGTTGAGTTATTGATTGGTCGGTCCGTCGGTAAGCTGGTTGGTTGATTGGTCTACTGGTTGAGTTATTGATTGGCTGGTTGGTTGATTGGTCGGTAAGTTGGTTGGCTGGCTGGTTGGGTGGTCGGTTGGTTGGCTGGCTGGTTCGGTGTTCGGTTGGTTGCTTGGTCGGTTAATTGGTTGGTTGGTTTGTTGGTCCGTCGGTCGGTCGGTCGGTCGGCTGGCTTGTTAGTAGTTGGTTGGTTTGTTAGTTATTTGATGAACTGACTCACCGAGATATTTGTCCTTTGACTGATTGGCTCATGACTTCCAAAAAATGACATTTGATCCTAAACATGCACGGAAATGGTTAAACCCCACGGTTTAATTTTTTTCTATAATAATAGTTATTATTAATATTATTATTATTATTATCACCATCATCATCATGACGACAAGCAGACGTGCGCAGAGGACTCGAGGAAGTTGGCAGAGCAGGTGATCAACTTCGTGCACACGCACCCCCTCATGTACGAGGCTGTGCCCTCTTTTGGCGGGAGGCCAATCCACGTTCACTCCAGTTTCAAGTTAGACGATGGTGGTGGTGGTGGTGGTGGTGGTGGTGGTGGCGATGGTGACGATGATGATGATGATAGGGGAGAGATGATGATAGGGGAGAGATGATGATAGGGGAGAGATGATGATAGGGGAGAGATGATGATAGGGGAGAGATGATGATAGGGGAGAGATGATGATAGGGGAGAGATGATGATAGGGGAGAGATGATGATAGGGGAGAGATGATGATAGGAGAGAGATGATGATAGGGGAGAGATGATGATAGGAGAGAGATGATGATAGGAGAGAGATGATGGTGATGGCAAGAGGATATTTATTTTTTTACAATTTTACATTTCTACAATCGATGATGGTGACGATGATGATGACGATGTTGATGATAGGAGAGATGATGATGATGATGATGATGATGATGATGATGATGATGACAAGAGGATACTTGTGTTTTGTTTTTGATGAGGAAGATTTTGATGGTGATGACGATGATTAATTTCATATCATATAATTTACTTATAATTGCGGCGAAATTAAATAATAGCAAAGTTAATTCATTGTTGTACTCACACATACGCACACAACACACACACACACACGTACGTACACATACACAAACACACACACAGACGTGCCTTAACACAAATAGCTGTTGACTGGAACGTTCTGTCAGCTGACGGTTTCTACAGGGACATTCTATTTATAGGAACAGGTATTTCCCATTCCACGAATTTATCATTTAATAGTGTAGAGGTTAAAGCGCCTGATTTAGAGTTGTGGTGGCCTGGTTCGATTTCACAGTGGTCCAGAGTGAAAAAGTGTGTAATGGGATGGTTCAAGCGCTCCAACTTGCACTGAGTGTGTTTGTTCGTGTGTATATGTATGTATGATTGATTGATTGATTGATTGATTGATTGATTGATAGATTGATAGATTGATTGATTGATTGATTGATTGATTGATTGATTGATAGATTGATTGATTGATTGATTGATTGATTGATTGATTGATTGATTGATTGATTGATTGATTGATTGATTGATTGATTGATTGATTGATTGATTGATCGAACAACCAATCAACCAGATGACGGCAAAATTTTAAAAATGGTCAACACGGCAAAAGATATGAACGCTGAGACACACATCATCGAGGTCATCACCATCAATCAGCCACTGTCACCATCATCTTCGTCCTCCTCATCTTCCTCATCATCATCGTCGTCATCATCATCATTACCGTCGGCATCTCCGATTTCTGGATTGAAGATATATACAGACCCGAAGACGAATACCAAAAAGTTGCTGGTCGCGTCCGACAACCAGATCGTGTCTGTGCCACTTTTCAGATGCCATGAGAGGACTAGTTGCAGGTGTGTGTGTGTGTCTGTCTGTGTATGTGTGTGTGTGTGTGTGTGTGTGTGCTTTTTTAATTAATTGTTAGGGTGTGTGGTTGTGGTTGTGAATTTTCTTGATTAATCGTTAGTGTGTGTGTGGTGTGTGTGTGTGTGTATGTGTGTGTGTGTGTGTGCGTACTTTTTTAAATAATTGTTAGAGTGTGTGGTGGGTGTTGTGGTTCGCCGTAGTGTGTGTGAATTTTCAATTTTCTTGATTAATTATTCGTTAGTGTGCGTGTGTGCGTGTGTGTGTTTGCGTGCCTGCTTGTATCTTTACTATTCCAGTTTATTAATTTATTTAATTTTGTTGGAGTCATAAATTTTAAAAAAATGTATAAATTAAATTATACCGCCAGTTCCTGTATGGCCCTCAGAGATCCATACTGCTCGTGGCTAGATGGACTCTGCGTTCATTCTCGTTATGGGTTGGTTGGTTAATTGATTGATTGGTTGGTTGGTTGATTGGTTGGTTGGTTGATTGGTTGGTTGGTTGGTTGGTTTGTTGGTTGGATGGATGGCTGGTTGATTGGTTGGTTGGTTGATTGGTTGGTTGATTGATTGATTGATTGACTAACTGGCAAAGATTGATTGACAAAGATTGATTGATTGACAAAGATTGATTGATTATTCTTCTACAGAATTCAGAGCTTGAGCACAGGTACGCACCAGAAATGTCCAGGCGACACTCACAAAGGTGCCAATGATGATGATGATGATGCCTCCATCGGTTGGTGCCAATGTAATCGCCATCCTCATTATTATTATTATTATTATTGTTGTTGTCGTTGTTGTTGTTGTTATTATTATTATTACTAACACTTTCTTTATTAGAACACCGGACCTTCATCATCGTCAGGATGTTTTATTATCATTATTATTTTTTTATCCAAATTGATCACCATTCTCACAATTTTTTCACCATTAAAATCATCATCATCATTGTTCTCACTATTACAATCATCATCATTGTCTTCATCATTACCATTGCAATCGTCATCATCATTATCCTCACCATTACCACTACAATCATCATCATCATCATCCTCACCATTACCATTGCTATCATTATCATCATTGTCCTCACCACACCATTACAATCGTCATCATCATTCTCCTCACCATTGCAATCGTCATCATCATTGTCATCACCATACCATCATGATCGTCATCATCATTGTCCTCACCATTACAATCACCATCATCATTGTCCTCATTATCACCATCATGATCCCTACTACAATTGTAATGGCGAATTGTAACGTTATTTCAGACTGCAACCTCTGCGAGCAGTGTCTGCCACTATCGACGTCTCCATCAATGTGGCCGTCCAACTCGTCGTTGCTGTCGTCGTTGCCGTCAACGCCAGCGTCTTCTTCCTTCACCTATGATGAGCCCCAGCTATTAAAGAGTGATTTTTTTTTCTGTTTCTTTAAATGAGGCTGTTGTTGTTGTTGTTGTTGTTGGTGGTGTTGTTGTTGTTGTTGCTGCTGCTGCTGCTGCTGCTGTTGTCGTTTTGTTGTTGTTGTTGTTGGTGGTGGTGGTGTTGTTGTTGTTGGTGGTGGTGGTGTTGTTGTTGCTACTCTGCTGTTGTTGTCGTTTTTGTTGTTGTTGTTGTTGTTGTTTCTGTTGTTGATGTCAGCGATGGTGGCGAAAACGTTATTTTTATATAATCACTAACGACATCGCCATTATAGCATCGTCACAATCATCATCATTATCGTAACCACCAATCATCATCGTCGAAATCACAATCATCATCAGGCAGTTGTACCATGAAAACATACATTCGCTGCCTTGAAGCCATAGAATCATCATCATTATCATCCTCATCATCATCATCATCACCTTCGTTATCATCATCATCCTCATCATCTCCTTCGTTATCACTATCATCATCACCATCGTCCTCATTTGCACCAACAGAGTATGTGGCCGTGGCTGTCATCGTTACCTCAATTGCGTCTCTAATCGTGGGATTTTTAGTAGGCGCCTTCTTTACCAGGCGCAGAATGCTGGGGGCGAACGCACTGACCACGAGCAACAACAGCAACAACAGCACGATTCGCTTCTACAGCAGCGGCGGCAACAACAACAACAACCACAGCAACGACGTCGGTGGCGATTACGACGGCGATGCCGACGGGCGATATTACGCGAAAGCCTACTGCGACGACAGCGTTGGCGTCACCTTCTGCACCGTGCCCAGCCTCGCTAACGTCGATCGCAAATCGGAGAACTATTACGAGTCGTCATTTCCGCTGCCCGCTCTCTCTCGCAAGGCTGCTGCCAGCCACTCGTCCGAAGCGACATCCCTCCAACAATCGTCCACGTCATCAACACCGATGACGTCATCAACAGCGACTACGTCATCAAATACCGCATCAAAATTTACGTTGATACCGTCTAGATACACAATAGGCAAGAAGGACAGTCATGAAAACTTCGGCCTTGACATTCAGCGACAACAACAACAACCGCAGCAAGACCAACATCAGATGTTAG